GATCATAAAAATAGGGGTTATGCACCGGAGCTTGCCTTGGGCAGGCGACGTGTCAGTGAGGTCAGCACCAAAAGGCTCTAGGGCTCCCTCCTGTACGAGGATCTCCTCTTCGTACTCCTCGATGACCTTCTCGTACTCCTGTTCGTCCACCGACATGAACTCTGCCAACTCGTGATCTATATGCATGAAATGATAATGCAACACTTAATATTACGGCAACAACAACTCTTAAAATAAGAATACATCTAGCAAACTACTAAGCGCGTTCTATCCACTAAAGTGCTAAGCTACCTACTGTTACCACTAACAAGTAAGAAGCATGGCATAGATTATTATAGCAACTACAGGCATTCTCACTCCTAATGCTGATTTACGCTACATATGATAAAGCAGGGATAATAGCTACTCTATTTATTAACCTACTCTAAGGCTACAAAATTTACAGCAAGTACATAATAATCTAGTGAGCCTACTGTAAAACTTTTATAGCTATAGCTATCACCAATTTACCACAAAAATTTCTACAATTATTAATCTATAAAATACTAAGCTTTTCTAGTTGGAATTTATAAACCTACTATTGCCATAGCTAACTGTAATCTAACTACACCAACAGGTGGATGGTATTTTTACAAATCTAACAAACTTGGTTTCACTATTTTTGGGCATCTACACGATTTACTACACTTTATTAAAGTTCAGCTCAAACTATTATTGAATAAACATTCATGAATTTATTAGAAAATAAAAACTAATTCCTATCCCGTGGCCTGACTCGAGCGGCTCGGCCCAACCAAGCGCAACACGCGCGCGCGCACGACGCGGCCCACGCGGCCCAGCCGGACGACAGCCCACGGCGGGGAGGACCCGCACGCAGCTGGCTCTTTTGCGAAAGAGCCTCAGTTCCCTACCCTATTCGCAAAACTAACCCAAGCACTATTATTCCGAGTCACAGGTTTTTCATCTACCACCCTCCCCTTTCCCTTCTTCACCGCGGCGACGTCTCTCGACACCCGTGCATGCACCGGCGCGACGGCGCGAGCATCGGGTGGCTACACCGGCCACACCCGACCCACCAATTCCTATCTAAGGAGCCGATGCTCACCTTGACGTCAACGCGAAGCGGTTGGAGGCGATACGGTGAACGGGGACGCTATCCCGTGCTCCCTCCCCGGCGGTGGACCTCTCCCTGCGCCGACGGACGCGTTCCTGTGAGCCAAAACTCAGACAGTGTGAACCAGCTCACGGATAGGCGACAGAGACTCACCCCGTGCCAATCGGTCATGGTGGCTTGACCGGAGACTGCTCGAATGGACCTAGCCACGTGCACCTAGCAGGCCTTACGACGGCGGCGATGGCGCGACTACGGTGGCAGCACTGGGCAGGCCGCAGCAGGGCAAACTAGGGCGCGCACGTGGTAGAGTGGAGCAGGGCGAAGGTTCAATGCCAAGGAATTGGACAGCGGTGGACGTGGGTAAGGGGAATTTCACGGCGTTGCTGTGGGTCTTAAAACGACCGATGATGATAGAACCGTCCAAATTAGGCTTGGCAACGGCCGACAATAGCAGTGGACGTTTTTGGCATGTGGCTAAGTACTCACTCCATCCTAAGGCATACGCAATCTCACTGCTTTGGCCGACGCTGCATGTTGTCTCGGCGTGGCCCGGCGACAGAGGAGCAGGGGGAAGTAGGCACATCGGTTCAGCGCTGTCACCACAGAGGCTGGTAGGGCAGGGGAGACCGTGGCGTAGCGCGGTAGCGGACATGGACATGCTGGCGAAGTAGGCAATCGTCCCACACGCGTGCAGCCATGGCGAGTCAACGAGGGCAGTGCCGGGCAGTGGCGATGGACAGTACGCAGCGCGATTGGGGTGCCGTGCGACGTGACGGCGAGGCAGAGCTACCAGGACCACCGGCGTAGTGCACGTGCATGCGTGCGTGATGTGTGCCGGGCATATACGACCGACCGAGCTGCAGCGCGAAACCCGACGGCAAGTCCGGCCAGCATGGGCGGGAAGCGGCGGCGGCCCCCGACGCTGCACGTCAACAATGGGCGGTATAATTGCGCACCAGTGGCGAGGGTGGCAAAGCGGCCGTGCAGCAATAAGAAGGACCACGCGCACGGGCGTGCTTGCACAGGGGCGGCAGTGAGGACGCGGCCGGGCGACGACGGCTCATATTGGCGGGCCAAAGAGCCAAAAGCAAAGCCGAAAGAAGAGATTTGGTGACCGCAGCCAACGCTGGCTCTGTTCAAAATATATGACTTGCACGCTTTTTATAGCTGTTGAAAAACTCTACCCAATGATCCCGTAGCTAAACTAGCTCTTCTATTCTCGAGAGGGTACAAAGGGCCATCGAGCTAAGCCAAAACATCTAGCCACTTTTTAACCCGATCGTTCTACAAAAAATGTCGAACACGGCTTCGTCGATCCATTTTCGGACTTACGCGAAATGACTAACTTCAAACGGTTTCACGTCGAATTCCATTCCTGAGCCACTCGATACACTAACTAGCGAACCCCGTCCTCGACCGCACGTATTTTATCGTCGCCTACGAAGTTCGTACCACGAGCTTTATCAAAGTTTTACATAAGCGTTCTATAGCACTTTGTTCGATAAAAATTCACTTAGAACCCTAAACGGTATAAAGCGACATGAAATGTAGTGTTCGTTTCTTGTTTCAGATGAACGTTTCAAGTACCGTACATTGATTTATACTCTATATTACACACAAGTATGATATTTATGCAATGTTTTAGCAAAACTGTACAATATAATACCGAGGGTGTTACACCGCCGGAGGCGCGGGCGTCGGAGGCGCAGCCGCCCGCAACGGCGTGATACACGACGGCGGGTGCGGGAGGCGGAGAGGGTGGTGGGTAGGGGCAGACACAGCGGTGGGGCGAGGGGGGGGCTCAAGCCCCCCTACCCATATCGCAGCAGTGGAACCCCTGTGGAGTCCCTATGAATTTTTAGGTAAAGTTCTATAGTGTAGGGGGGTTGAGACTTAAGATCGAACAACAGTGTTGTTCAGCCCCCCTGAAATATTTTCTGGGTCTGCCGCTGGTGGCGGGGACAGGAAACAGAAAAAAAGGAAAGGGAGAGAGGAAGAAGAAAGCAGCAGGGGCAAAAATGTCATTTCACCGCGGTTCTCTCTCCTCAACTGCCTGCAACCGGTCCGCGGCGTCCTGTAGCATAATTTCACCGAACCAGAGTGTCTTCTGGTAAAATGTTCAAAACAGGGTGTCCGTTAGCTAACAACCATCACTTTGGATGTCCGCCAGACAATTGTCCCATTAAAAAAAAGGAGACATCTCTATAAATCAATTACCTACTAGTGCATGTCTACGTAAAACGAAACATAGTTTTGCAAGAAAAAAGAATAATTATAGCCAGTATTCTCTCAGTTTATTCGAAATCAAATTTCCGACTTTGATACTTAGCAATTGATTATATGGTCCCATGGTGCTAGTGTTGATGGATGAATTTATGGGTCATAGATGGACCGCACACACCGATCATTAGATCAAGTGCGCATCAAAAGAACATGTCTGTCCAAAAGAAAACGTACGTTTGCAATGAAATAGAATAATCCTAGCTTAGGTCTAAATTATAATTCAGTAAATTTTTACGTTTTCAGCTAAAACATCTTATCAAAACATGTGTTGAGTGTTTACGATCTAGTGTTAATTGTTTTTAACAATGAATACATAATTTGGAGATGACATAGCAAAGGTAGATGCTGAATTAGACTCCACGGTCAGTAAGTTTGAGGAACAGTACGATTTTCATTTGCAATTGCCTTTTTTTTATCTTTTTGTCCTTTTAGTGATATATAAGAGCATCTTTAGGAGTTTAATAAAACAACTCTCTATTTTGGGGAAAAAGCAAAAAAATATCCTTCAACAGTTTAGTAAAAGAGCTCTTTAAAAATATAAAAAGTTGCTAGCTATCCTCTCCAACTCAGTAAGTTTCGCAGTTGAGAAGAACTCTATATCCACTCACCATCCAATATTTTCTCGGGAAGTTAAGAGTAAATTAGACGCATGGGTAAATTAAGAAAATAAATGATTCAATATGAGAAAACGGTGAGCACAAAGAAACTATTAAAAAATATTTAGATGGTTAAAAATAGTTCAGGTCCCCATGCAAAATCATTTAGAAAGCTACTATACCAAACTCTTGAAGAAGGACAAAATTTAAGGTTGTTATATCTTTTATTAACTTGCTAGATCTATTGGTTTAGAAAGTAAACTATATTAAACACCCCGAGATCTCTAATACTCCCTCTGTCCTTAAATATCTGTCGTTTTTTTTTCGAGAAACAACTTTGACAAAATATATATTAAAAATATTAATATTTATGATATATAATTAGTACCATTGATAGATATTTGAATCTAGATTTTTAATAAATTTATTTAAAAATAGAAATGTTACATGTATTTTTTATAAATTAAGTCAAACTTATTGACACGGGAATCGTGAGGAAATATTTACGGACAGAGCGGGTATACTCCCATCACGAAATGCGAGGAAATATTTACGGACAGAGCGGGTATACTCCCATCACGAAATGCGACGATTTTCGTCTATAAATACCCCTCCAAATGTATCTTCGGTAGCCAGCTTCCACCACTAGTCCACTAAGGCCCACTCCCTTCCAACAATCTCGCTGCGCTGCTCCCTTGCTCGCTTCTCGCCACGATCCGATCCCTTTCATCCAGTCACATTGCATCCATCCCCACCGATCTCCAGCATTAGATCCGTCGCCTGTTATTTCTTCTTTCATCAGAAAATCAAATCATACTTGCAGAAAGATGAATATAATAATAAATAAAAAAGAATAAAGAGAATCTTGAATCGCAGCTCTGCTTCGCTCTACTCTTTCCTGGATCGAACCTGCGTTTTTAGTGAAGTTTGTGTGTTGAGTTGTTGCATCGAATCGAGCAAGTGGTGGTTTCTGGGGGCAGTGTGATATGGCCGGGAAGTTGGAGAAGATGGCGTCGATCGACGCGCAGCTGCGGATGCTGGCGCCGGCGAAGCTGTCGGAGGACGACAAGCTGGTGGAGTACGACGCCCTCCTCCTCGACCGCTTCCTCGACATCCTCCAGGACCTCCACGGCGAGGATCTCCGTGAGCTGGTAACATGAAATGTCTCTTTTATCCTTTCCTTCTATCCTGGATCCGCCTTATATGGTCGGTTGATATTCCGGATCAGGCTATTTGCACTGGTTTATGCGCCATCTTGTTATTTTATATAAACCGGAGGCTTGGGCAATATGGGCCAAGCTTGATAGACTGGATTAATAATTTGAGCTGGAAGTTATTCTAAAAAAAAAGAGAGAGCTGGAAGTTGGAGCTTACTTAGAGAACAACAGGGCTTTGGATGATTTCTCTGATTCCTCTCCTGGATGTTAATCTTTACTAGTAACCTTTTTTTCCAGAATACTATGTTATTCTTAGTGCTTATAGAGCATGTAATGAGGGCACTAAATGGAGTTGGGATGTTGACTTTACTTCCTGATACAACTTTTTTTAGAGAAAGAAATCTCCCCAGCTTTATTTCAGAGAAATAAAGCGCAAACGTGCAGGTACTTACAACGTATTCTAGGCGCACCTGCCACTTCCTGATATAAATTACTCTTGGAGTATTGTCTTGCAGGACTGTGTTCATTGGATTTGACTGTTTGATTGTGCAAGTCAAATTTGAGTTTATTTTGTTTGCGAACTGGAATGATAAACAAAATTTTGACTTGCTTAAACAGGCCTTACACAATTCTCCTGCATATCCCCGGAAAGAAAAAAATTTTGAAACACCTCAGTTTCCCCACGTAGAGAAAGGGAATAACTATGGTAGACAATTGTCCAAGAGTGATAACTGATATCGAGTTGATTTGAATTAACTCTTGCCAAGCTACTATTTTCGGAAAATAAATTGATTGGGTTGGTTGCAACCCTTGTGTATGCATATGAAAAGGACAATTCTCATTTGCCTTGTTGTGATTAGTCAGATAGTCAGACCTTAATCAGTTAATCTGTGTGCTGTTTTTACCATGATCTGTTAATATGATAGTTTCACCCTGCTCTGTAGGTACAAGAGTGCTATGAGATAGCTGCCGAGTATGAAAGGAAGCATGACTCAGAAAAGCTCGATGAACTTGGCGACATGTTGACCAGTTTGGATCCTGGTGATTCGATTGTAATGGCGAAAGCATTCTCACATATGCTTAATTTGGCCAACTTGGCTGAGGAAGTCTAGATTGCTTATCGGAGGAGAATCAAGCTCAAGAAGGGGGACTTTGCTGATGAGAACTCAGCACTGACTGAATCTGACATTGAGGAAACTTTTAAGCGGCTCGTAGTTGACCTTAAGAAGTCACCAGCTGAGGTTTTTGATGCTCTGAAGAGTCAGACTGTTGACCTGGTTTTTACTGCACATCCAACCCAGTCAGTGAGGAGATCACTGCTACAGAAGCATTCACGGTGAGTCAGAAAAAACGATGCCTTGAAATCTAACACAAATATATGAAATACTTCTGTTCTCTAACTGGCATGACTGAAAATATAAATCTAGGATAAGGAATTGTTTGGTTCAACTGTGCTCTAAGGACATCACACCAGATGACAAACAGGAGCTTGATGAGGCTCTCCAGAGGGAGGTAACACATTGAACCTATACTATGAGCATTAGACTTTTGTTTTATCTAAGGCAGCTCCTTGCCTACATGATAAATTTCTTCAGCTCTGATTTGTGCAAACTACGAAGCATTTGCTCATCTTATCAGCATATACAACGTTAATGTTGTCATTTATTCTGTTCCTGTATGCCACCTACGTTGGTACATTAATAATCCAAGTATTAACTTCAATTCATTATTTTCAGATCCAGGCAGCCTTCAGAACTGATGAGATCAGAAGAACCCAGCCTACTCCACAAGATGAAATGCGGGCTGGTATGAGTTACTTCCATGAAACAATATGGAAAGGTGTTCCAAAGTTTTTACGCCGTGTGGATACTGCCTTGAAGAACATTGGAATTGATGAGCGTGTGCCCTATAATGCCCCTCTCATTCAGTTCTCTTCTTGGATGGGAGGAGATCGTGATGGTAAACAAGAGACAGCTTAATAATGTTTCTGCCATCTCATTGCTATGTTATTTGCATCCTAATGCCTTTAACCAATTTAGGAAATCCAAGAGTGACACCAGAGGTTACAAGGGATGTCTGTTTGCTTGCCAGAATGATGGCTGCAAATTTGTATTGCTCACAGATTGAGGATCTCATGTTCGAGGTACAAATGACTGATTACTTAATTTTTCTTTGTTATACTTATATGAACTAATTGGCACTATGAAGTGACAAAATTTGTGCAATTTTTTTTCAGTTGTCTATGTGGCGGTGCAATGATGAGCTTCGGGCACGAGCAGATGAGTTACATCGCTCGTCAAAGAAAGATGCAAAGCACTATATAGGTACGTTGGATTAGCAAATAATACTGTTTGACATTTAGATTTTTTTTCTTCAGAATATCTGATGGTAGATGGCTACTTGGCTGTTCCTATTAACCATTGTTTCTTCTGTAACAGAGTTCTGGAAGAAGGTTCCTCCGAGTGAGCCATATCGGGTTATACTTGGTGATTTGAGAGACAAGCTTTACAATACACGTGAGCGGGCACGCCAGTTGTTATCCAGTGGATATTCTGACATTCCTGAAGAATCTACTGTCACAAACGTTGAGCAGGTCAACTATTGATCAAAGAATCTTTGAACTGCACCAGTTGAATAGTGAATTTTTTTCTTAAGTTTTTTGGATTGATCATTGATCTGAAAAACTGTTCACTTGCAGTTCTTAGAGCCTTTGGAGCTATGCTACAGGTCTCTCTGTGCTTGTGGTGACCGTGTAATTGCTGATGGAAGCCTTCTTGATTTCTTGCGCCAAGTTTCTACCTTTGGGTTGTGCCTTGTGAGGCTTGACATAAGGCAGGAATCTGATAGGCACACTGATGTCCTTGATGCTATTACCACCTACTTAGGAATAGGGTCATACCGTGAGTGGTCTGAGGAACGCTGTCAGGAGTGGCTTTTGTCTGAACTCAATGGGAAGCGTCCATTGTTTGGTCCAGACCTTCCCACTACTGATGAGATTGCTGATGTCCTAGACACATTCCGTGTGATAGCTGAACTTCCTGCGGACAACTTTGGAGCATACATTATTTCTATGGCAACAGCTCCATCTGATGTTCTTGCTGTTGAGCTTCTCCAGCGTGAATGTCATGTGAAGACACCACTTAGAGTTGTCCCACTGTTTGAGAAGTTGGCTGATCTTGAAGGTGCCCCAGCTGCATTGGCCAGACTGTTCTCAGTGGATTGGTATAGAGAAAGGATTAATGGCAAACAGGAGGTCATGATTGGCTACTCAGACTCAGGTAAGGATGCTGGTCGTCTCTCAGCAGCTTGGCAGCTGTACAAGGCTCAGGAGGAGCTTATCAAAGTCGCTAAGCAATTTGGGGTGAAGTTGACCATGTTCCATGGGCGAGGTGGTACTGTTGGAAGAGGTGGAGGCCCCACTCATCTTGCCATTTTATCTCAGCCACCGGACACAATCCATGGATCCCTCAGGGTCACTGTTCAGGGGGAAGTCATTGAACAGTCCTTTGGTGAGGAGCACCTGTGTTTCAGGACACTGCAGCGTTTCACGTCTGCTACTCTTGAGCATGGCATGCATCCACCAATTTCCCCAAAACCTGAATGGCGTGCTCTGCTTGATGAGATGGCTGTTGTGGCAACAAAGGAATATCGGTCCATTGTCTTCCAAGAACCACGCTTTGTCGAGTATTTCCGCCTTTGTGAGTACTTCATTTCATCTTCATCAGATTGTTAAATGTAGATTGTGATGTTCTGATGATTTACTGTGCAAATGTTCGCATGGAGGATTCTCATGTTACTACTATCTACTATATTATATTTTCTCCAACACTTAAATACATGAAGGTTAAACATACAATACACTCAAGGCACTGAGCAAAAAAGAGTGGATTTCTTAGGTGGACTCTACCTTTAGCATAAAGTTAATTTTATTTATAATGATAATGTCAACAGGCAACACCTGAAATGGAGTATGGAAGGATGAACATAGGGAGCAGACCATCCAAGAGAAAACCAAGTGGTGGGATTGAGTCTCTACGTGCCATTCCATGGATCTTTGCATGGACACAGACACGCTTCCACCTCCCTGTCTGGCTCGGTTTTGGGGCTGCCTTCAAGCACATCCTGGAAAAGGACATTAGGAACCTCCACATGCTTCAGGAGATGTACAATGAGTGGCCATTCTTCAGGGTGACAATTGATCTAGTTGAGATGGTATTCGCCAAGGGTGACCCAGGCATCGCTGCCTTGTACGATAAACTCCTTGTTTCTTCAGAGCTCTGGCCTCTTGGGGACAAGCTGAGGGCAAATTATGAAGAGACCAAACGTCTTCTCCTTCAGGTTAGTGTGCCAACTAAAAAAACACTGTATCCATGTCCAGTTCATAAGACTGAATCCTTGTCCAATTAACAGAACAACAGTGTATGCAGTTATAAGAATCCTCTATTGTCGTAAACTAATGCGACTGGCTACTTAAAATTTCAGGTTGCTGGACACAAGGATCTTCTTGAAGGGGATTTATACCTGAAGCAGCGTCTCCGCCTCCGTGACGCGTACATCACCACACTGAATGTCTGCCAAGCCTACACGATGAAGCGCATCCGTGACCCAGATTACCATGTCACACTGCGGCCCCACCTGTCCAAGGAAATCATGGACTGGAACAAGCCTGCTGCAGAGCTCGTGAAGCTGAACCCGACCAGCGAGTATGCGCCGGGGCTGGAGGACACCCTCATCCTTACCATGAAGGGCATTGCTGCTGGGATGCAGAACACTGGTTAAGCCAAAAAATGACCTTAAGTGTGCCTTGAATCTGATCATTTGCTCTCGGCCCAATATTTTTGCCGATGTAGCTGCTTCTTTGACTTTCCCCATTGGCAATAATGAATTATGTACCAGAACAGCAATACGGAACTTATTAATAATTCAAAGTTAAGTTTATATATTGTCAAATTTTTTACCGTGTTCATTATTAAGAGCTAAATTTGTTACTTGTTGCACCGTACTACCTTCATCCTAAAATATAAGGTATCAAAATTTGTCCTAAGTCAGACTATCATAAGTTTGACCAAACTTTTAGAAAAAAACAATAATACTTACAACTTCAGCTTAGCACCATTAGATACATAATGTAGTTTAATAATTTATCTCATAATGTGGTAGATATTAACATTCTTCTTTCTAAAGTCGATCATATTTAAGATAGTTTGACTTAGGACAAATTTTAATCTCTTATATATTCCAAGTCAAAGGGAGTATGACTTAAAGATTGAAGTGGAATATAGCAGAAACCTAACACAGGCTATTAAAGGCTTGTCGGAAACGCATATGGTAGTTATTCATGGCTGCATGAATCTCACTGCATCTTCTAACCAGTTTCATCTTCTTCCTCTTCTTTTCCTTACCATCTCCCAGCATCAGTCAAGTCAAAGGTCTTCAATATAGGTTGAGAATGCGTGGTGGTGAGCTTTGCTGCGCGAGCCGGATTGATTCCCGATTATTCCCTTTTTTTTTTAAGTAAGGATTATTCCTGTCTTCTTGTGCGTCGGTTTTATCCCAAAATCCATATTGTTCAACACGGATGTTCCACAATGCTTGAAGTAAGGTACCATGTAAGGTACCATTTATGACTTCGGGTACCTCTTAGGCTCTTAGCCATGCACGTGCCCCTTTAGGCATAAGCTATTGATCTAGCTTGTGCATATATATAGCCTTTGTGAATAAATACGTATGATTATCACAAAGGCTTGTTTTGCAAATTCTCTACTTCCCTATTCTTTTATAATTCATGAGGATAAAACAACTTTAAGAAATATATCTAGTAATATTGTTGTTGATATAACATGTTTTCATCTGCATAACACAAGCATCATAATCTTCAAAGACAATGGTTGGTGGCAAGTAGCTTGCTATTTCTCTTCTTCACATTCTCTTCATCTTTCTCATTTTCCCCCCTTTCTCTTCTTCAGCCATGCATAATAAATGTTAAGAGGGTTCCATTAGTTTAGTGGTGGCGAGAGCTGTGTGCTTGGGTTGAGGTTTTTGGTACTGGCTTAAGAGATCTTTGAGTTACAAGGCAGCCTTGAGCCTTGTACACCCTACCAATGGCAATATACGAAAGTGACCTAGCGTGGAGCTATCAGCGGATGTAGCGAGGCCTTCGTGTATTTGTTTTTTTCGTGGTGACTACTACAAGGCAAACTTAGAAGGGTTCGGATCTAGTGGAGTCATTCCATCGATTGAGGTGTGGTCCTATGGCAGCACTACGATAAAAGAGTTCATGCAAAACAAAATCTTTAACATTGTTTTTACTATATATCTAGACATGATGTATATCCAAATATATAGCAAAAACTATATACAACATTTAGAAAAGATAAAATATCTTATAATTTAGAATGGAGGAAATATTATAACATTTTCATAGCAGTTAGTGTCCTATAGGATCAAGGGCCAACACTTCTATCCAAGTAACGATGTGATGTCTGGAAAGCTTTGGTCACCCAAAGGACAACGACAATTAAACAGCGGATGGGGAAAACGCGGACGAAAAACTGACATGTCGACCCACTTTTGCAAGGGCAAAATTGATATTCCATACTCTTTCTCGGGGCGTGCTATGCATCGACCAGGGTGGCACGCTGGATCGCGCCGACCAGCTTTCTCACCCCTCGTGTCCGCTTCTGTTCCGCGCATGGCCCACTTCCGCGTGTCCGCACGGCCCAATTCCCGCGTTTTCTGCTTTCGCTTCGCTGTTTAGCGCACGTCAGCTCTGGTTTGTCCAGAAAAAATAGAAGTGTCCTTGTTGCCTTCCGTGGCCTCTCTGTTGCCTATGCCTGACCAGTGACCACATCCCACAAATGCAGAGACGTGAGAAGAGGAGACAAACAGAACAGTAAGCACCAAGCGGTTGTTTGTTTCAAAATTGCTTGGCCTGATCCAGTTGTCCAAAATATATATCATGGGTCACCTCATAGAATGGGGAAAAACTACATAACAGTAAAAACAAACAAGGAAAAAAGTCACATAACAATGGAAATAAAATAAAAGTATGAAATAAATGAAAATAATAATTAAATGTAAATCAATGAAGGAAAAATAAAATATAATATGGAACAACGTATAAAAAAGAAACGTAACAAAAACACATACAACATCATATAGATACTACTAGAATAACCTAATATATACATAGAACATGCCACGAGTATACGTTGATACTCAAAGATCATCGTAGAACATCATATTTATATTGAGTGAACATCACAAAATACATCATAGAACATGATATGTATACTACGTAAAAATCACAACTAAACATAAGAAAAAACATAAATAATGAAAAAACATGTAATAGAGAAAAAAAAACATAAGGTATTACTTGAACAATCTAAAAATATATCACAGAGCATCTAACAAGTATTATATGAATATACTCAAAGATAATCATAGAGGATCTCACATATACTGTGAGAACATATCGTAGAACATTAAATGTATACTACACAAACTCCATATATATCTCATGAAAATGTAGAGATTAAAAGAGTAAAAACAACATGATAGGAAAAACAAACGAGTAAAAAGGAAAAGACAAACAAAAAAAGCCAAGTACCCGTGGAAATCAAATGAAAATATGAAAGAAATAATGAATAAAAAATAATAGTTAAATGTAAAAAAGTGGAAAGACAATATAAAATAGCATAGAATATCACATGTATATTGCGTAAACATATACGTATCTCATAAAATATAGAAACATAAAAATAAAAATAAGTATAATAAAATAAAAATGAGAAAAAAAATAAAAATAAAGCGATCCACAGAAAATATAAGATAAAAGAGAAAGGAAAAAGAATAAAAGATAGACCGTGAAACATCATATTAATAATAAAAATACACCATATAGCATCTCAAGAACACACCATATATAGAGAAGTGAAAAATAAAAATAAAGAAAACAACTATTTAGCAAAAATAGAAAGTATAAGAAATAAAGAATAACACTACATAGAATCAAAAAATTAATAAATAAAAGAAAATAAAAACATAAAGGGAAAATAATAAATAAAATGAATAGATGCTAAAAAGAATATAAAGAAAAAAGAAGAAGGAAAGGAAAAAAGATAAATCCGAACATGTATGTGGAGATGCTAGTCGTCCTGTTTATTTGGGCTGGTTTAGCTTATAATCCATAACTAAAAATATTATTAACTAATTTAGTGTGAAATAAAAATACTATTTATTGACTGATAAACCTCGTAAGTCAGATACTACAGGCGAACACGCCGAATAACTGCTCGGCGCTGCCCGACGTGATGAGACCTGCGCGAGGTGACATGGGCTTGTTACGCATTAAAATCGACCCAATAAAATAATCTAGGAGAGCTGGTCGGCGCGTGACTTCCTTCAGACTGGTCGGACCGGAAGATTAGCGCTATTTCTCCCCACTCCCTAGTACAAAATGAATGTTTTTATTTTTTTAGTGTCTCAGCGAGGTTTTATGATATTAAATAAGTTAACATGATATAGTATAATAAAAAATATAATAAAAATTTCATGACATAAAATAAGTTTGTCTAATACATGACAGTATTGAAAACTGACACATCACTAAAACTGGTCTAAAAAAGATTCCCTCTTGAGCTCGCTGCCGTAGGTAGCACCAGTGCCGGCCCTAGGGGGCAGGCGGTGCGATGGCCGAGGGCCCAGGCAGGATGGGGCCCAAGCCTAAGTATATAAGACCCCATACCCTTTAGCTATAGTCCATTATAATTTAGGATTAATGAGAAGGTGCAGCAGCCAGCAGGCCATCAGCGTCGGCCTCTTTCTTTTCAGGAGGCGAGGAGCCGAGCCGCCAACGCCGCAGCCCCGCACAGCGATCGCGACTTCCGCAGCCCCGCACAGCGATCGCGACCAGACTTCCGCAAACGGCGAGACGGCGAGACGCAACACCGATCGGGTGATCACCACGCGACAAAGGTAGCCGAGGTACGATATCTGACTATCTAATCTTGGTTGCCTTATGCCCTTTTTGTGATTTGTGAATCTTGGTTCTGAATTCGTTCATGTCCAAATTGTCTAGGCCCTAATTTTTTTCCTTGTTCAATTTTTGTCTAGTACTTTGTACTCATATAGTCATGTTTTTCTTGTAATTTAGGTCAGGTGTAAGAATTTTAGAATATTACCTAAGAAATATTTGTCAGGGGCTGCGAAAAGAAAACGGAGAAGACAAGAAGAACAATTGTTCAGTCACAACAAGGTGTTTTAGATAAGTTTTTTTTTCAGCTTCAAGTAGTGTTGTGCGTGATGACAACCCCATAGATACACTTGATAATCAAGAAGAAGAGTAACAACAAGTTAATGATAATTTAAGTCTATGTTGTTTCTAACTCTCGATAATTATCAGATATGTTAAATTAAAAATATATTATTGAATTTATTTTTCCTTTACAAGTAAAATTAGTCTATATATTATAAATTTTTATGGTCTAGAGGGCTGTCGCGATGAGTCCGTCGGAGAGCCCTCAAAATCATAGGACCGACGCTAGTAGCACCTTGGCATGATGGCATCTGTGGAGCAACAACAACACGGTGTAGCAGGACTGATCAGGGCTGATGTCTTGCTACAAATTTAATCGGTTCGGTCTTTCTATGCGCTCATAAGACCTCGAACGTGTAAATGAATGTACTGGTCCTTCAGGCGCGCCCATGCGCGCGGTGTACGGGTTCCATATATTTTTTTTTGGAGAAAAGAAAAGAAATAATGAAAGGTGGACTGTTTTTTGATTTGAGAAAAATCAGAGGATGTTTTCGCAAAAAATGATGAGAGTGTTTATGGAGCGCGGGTTGAATTTCGATAAAGTGGAGGTCTTTTTTGCAAACAAATCAGTGCGCATCCGTTCTGGACTGCGCGTCGATTTGGAAATAACATGAGGCGTTTTTTGTAAAAAAATATGAGAGGACGTCTGGAGCGCGGGTTGATTTCCGAAAACTAAAAGGGGTTTCTCGTAAAACGATCGCGGCTCGCTCGATCTGGACTGTCCGCGCGGCCGATCGAACGGCCACGAAATAACAGCGACGTGGACGCGCTGGCTGAGCGAGCTGGCCACAACGAATCATATCTTTAGATACGTGGGCATTGGGAAAAAAGGAGAACGTATGTCGAATTGTCGATACAGGCCTGTTTGCTTCGCTAAAAAAAAGGTGAAATATTGTTTCAGCTGATTTGTTGTGAGAGAAAAATACTATTCCGACTAAAAAAATAAACTGAAAAGATAAATTATAAGATAAGCAAAGATGGCACAGAGATCTCGTTGCAAGTTGTTTCCGGTGTTTTTCTTTTTAAAACTGATGAGCCGATGGACCAAACAAGCTGCTCCTCGTCACTCGTGAGGCAACAGCCCAACAGGGCAGTATATGCCCTCCAACGCCAAACCGAGCAACCGACCGTCTTCTCTCTTCGTGACCTCTCTTTCCGACCAATGGCGGCAGGTGACATAGGTGGCAGGCCGCCCCTCCCTCCCCTCTCTTCTATCACTCTCCCTCCCGAAATCTTCAGATGCGCATACGATAATAATACTGCACAGGCGTCCGTCCCGTGTTGGACGCTGCTAGCTGGGCCTGCGGGACTAGCCCACAGCTGCTCCCGGCCCACATACAGAAATAAAATAGAGAGCGACACATCGTTTCTCATTCCGCATCGCCGCTGCGAGCGCCTCCCGCGCACCGCCACCGTTAGCTCGCTTCTTCTCCGCCGCTGTGGCCACGACCCTCTCCCCCACTCCATGGTGGCCGCTCCCCCAACTCCATAGCGGCTCGAGCAAGCCTTCTCCCCTCCCCTTCATAGATCCAGCCACCCTTCCTCCACGTGTGTCTTTCCTCACGTCCGGCGGCCTTCCATGGCGTCCCCCTCCCCCACTTCATGGCGGCTGCGCCCCTCCCCCGTGTCCCACCGGATTTGGCCCTCCCCTACCTCGGCTAGCGGTGCCCTCCCCAGATCCGGCAACGTCTCCTCTCCCTCAGTCGATGGCGGGCATGGCGAGGGCGTGCAGGCGCGCACCATCCACCGAGCCTGCGCCACCGCAATTGGCCACCAGGTAGGTCATGGCCGCGCGGCGATGCTGTATTTCAAGTGTTTTTGGATGCTTTACAGACATGTTGCAATCTCATATTTCAAGTGTTTTAGTTGTTTCAGATGTATGTTTCAATTGTTTCATGCGGATGTTGCATATGTTACAATGGTTGTACACGTATGTTGCAAGCGTCTATCCATAATGTTTTATCTGTTTTTTGTACATGCATGTTGCAAGTGTTTCAGACGCATGTCTCAAGTGTTTCATGTGTCTTCTTTTGTATGTTGTAAGTGTTGCATCCGGATGTTTCAAAAGTAGATCGGGATGTTGTACATGTTGCAATAGTGTTTCAACTGTATGTCTAAATGTTTCATCTATTTTAGACGTATGTTATAAAGTTTTTATCTGGATGTTATAAAAGTAGACAAAGTGTTGCATGGCGCGGTCGGTAGTTGTCGTTGCAGCTGGGGCACAGCCATGCGCCAACCGCGCGTGGGTTTCCCGGGGCGCGGGATGGGTTCGAGGGCGTGAGTCCCTACGACAAACGTGAGCGCGGGGGGAGGGGTCGAGCCGTTGCTCGAGTGGCAAACGCTGCTAGTGGTGCAGCGGCCGGTCGTGGGTTCGAGCTCTGCTCGACTCACGATCCCCACCGGGGTTTTTCCTCATTTTTAACAGGTGCAGCCTCTCTCGTGTGAAGCTACAAAAGGATAACGGCGCGCTCGTCGCTTACAGAGTCTTGGATGGTTTCGGTGATCTCCTCAAGGACGCGATCTTGAAATCTAGGTGTAGTTGTAGGGTCTGTTTGTGTATATAAGGTGTGTGTGAGTGTGTGGTGTTAATGTGCAGTTGTACGTAGATGAGAGGGGAAAAAAACGTGAGCGCGGGGTGCTGACTCGAGATGCGGGATGTTGGACGGGATGCGAAGACGGGAGCAGCAGAGATAGACAATGGATACGACGGAATTGATTAATTAATTAATGGCAGTCCAGCAGCGGCATGTGTAGGGGCAGGCATGTGCGGACGTTCGGACGGGGCGGGCCAGCGTCTAGATGTCCGGCCGCTAGGCACGCCGGATGCGCGCACAAGGTCTCGTTCGTCGGAATGGCCCGTTCTGGAGCCCATTCCAAATGGATCAGAGCGGCCCGTTTCGAAGCCAGGTGGTGAATTGGAAGGCCTGTTCGTTTCGGCCTAACTTTGCTGCTGGATTGGAGTGGAGGGGCGCAAGAGGCGACGAGGCGACGGCGCGAGGTGACGGCGCGGCACAGCACCGACTGCGACCATCTCCCACCCAACGTCCGCCCTCTCCCCCGCCTTCTCACCAGTAAGGCGCCGCCCTCTCTTCCTTCCCTCTTCGGTCCTCGCGTTTCTTGTTCTTGAGGTCCGCCTGGAACTGGGTCTGGGATCGGGATCGGGCCATGCGGGGAGCGCGAGGCGGGGAGCGGAGTCAGCGGCGGCGGCATGCCGTCGGCTAGGCTCCTGGCGGCGCGGCGAGGATTCGATGCAGTTTTTTGGTTGGTGGGGAAGGGTGGCCTGGCAGATTGCACGGACGTGCTCAGGGTGACCGTTCCCAAGATCAAGGACGAGGAGCGCAAGGACGTGTTCGAGATCAAGATCGAGTAGGGGGTGGGAATCGAATGGGTCCTCCGAGGTCTCCTGGTTGCGGTCCATATCGTAGTTGCAGTGAGCAGTCGTACTAGTAGAGTAGTAGTAGTAGTTTTAATTACTGGAGCAGTCGTTTCTGCTGCAGAGCAGCATGGCTGCGAACGAGAAGGATTTTTGGTGGTGGTGGTGTCTCGTGCCTGATGTGAGGCATCCATGTAGCTTCTGGACTGCTGTAGCTTGGATGCTTCATCTGATTTTGGGGGGGAATAGAGAACAGAGGGAGAAGTGTGAGCTGCTACTTCTGGCCTGATGTTGATCTGCTCGTGATGAATAACTAGCACAGAGAAAGAGAGAAATTTGCCCAGGTGCAGATGGGTGTAGGGAGGTGCTAGCTGCTGTGCTCATGTGGAAGTAAGTGGAGAAGGAATAATTGATAGAGGTATATGTTTGCTGCTTGCTTGTTTAGTGCTTAGTTGGGACCATTTTGGTTAGTTGTTTCCATCGATTTAGATGGTAAGAGAATGGAAAATTGATTTTGGCTAGATGGCTAAAAAATGGAAAAATGATCAAAGAAAGTGGATGTGAACTGATTTTTCCCCTGCTAGTGAATTGGATCTGAAGTTGTTTTATGCTATTAATGATCTTATTACAAAATTTACTGAAATGTCTCACGTATAAATATTGGGTGTCCAGTCGTTTTCTTGCATTGTCTTCAAATTGACATGGGCGTTCAGGCTGCAAAGATGCAGTGTCTTATTGTGCCGTGATATGTTGGCTTGTGTCTTATTCACATGGTGCTTCTATGATGGCCATCATTGGATTTTGACTGGTGCCATTGGCGATGTATTAGCAATAGCAATCTGTCTCATATGTTCTGCTATATATATCTTATCAAGTAGAAGTTCAGCAGTTGTATAACCCTACAGTTTACAACTTCTGAACTGGTGCCACTGGCCATCATTGGATTTTTTTCCCTGCAGTTTTAGTCTCTGCTGTGATATCTCGTTGCTTTGGGACCAAAACAGGTGCAGCATAAGAATGTTCTTTTTAGAGACTAATAATTTAGGGAGTTTGGTCCCCACCTAGATCATTGTTATGATAATGTATATTCCAATGCTTTTTCTCCAAATCTTAGCAATTTTGCACTATCATCTTTCGAGACCACTCAGAGTTTGATCCTGAGAAAATAGGAATATGAATTCCTGTTGATCCTTGCTTTGCATATTGACTTATATGTGCTTTGCAAGGCTTCTCAATCAGAGATCTCACTCGATTGTATCGGAGGTGAAAGGATTTTCTAACTAATGAGCACCACATCTGGTCATGTTCGTTTTTAATCCATGCCGGCCTTATTAGCACACAGTGTGGGTTTAAATTTCTTGGCAATAGATGGCCATGTGCATTCTAGCAACTGAGACTGAGAGCTTGGTTTTTGGTTTCGTGCACTGCTCATTATTCTGCATCTAGCAATGCATAACTGATGGGAAAGAACTAAAGATATATTAACCTGGACATTCTTTTTGTTTCCTTACTGTCTAGTAGTATCATTGCATAGTATCATATTTCTATTTCCTTGCATAGTATCATATTTCTATTTCCTTGCATAGTATCATTTTCTAGATTTGTCACTGTTCCTGATTATGAATCCAAATACTATTGTCATGCCACTGGAACTGATGTTGAACCTTTTGTCTACTAGGCTTGAGTGTGCAGGAGGTCTAAGGAGTCTTCACATATTTATCAAGATCAATAGATAACCTAGAGTGCTTGTAACTTCTATGAGAGATTTATGCTTCTGCCAGTTCAAACTCTATTTTGTCTTGATCAAGACTGAAAGACTGAAAGGATGTTGCTATTTTTTATTGATCAAGACTCTATTTTTGTTTGCTACTTGTCTGCTACTTCTCCCTCATTTCAGTTTTTCATGCATGTAGATAAATGTTTACTGTCAAGTTGCTGTCAAACAAGCTGTCAAGCTGCTGTCAAACAAGTGACCTTGATTTGCTGTCAAACAAGCGTTTACGTCAAGTTGCTAATGTTTTCATTCCTGGCTGAAACGAATGGGCCTCATGTTGTAGAGTTTTGATTCCTGAGCCAGATCCATTGGTGACCAGGTTTTAGTGAACCACCAGGATCCACTCGATCCGGCCCAGGAAGAGAAACAAGCCTTGTTTTCAACCTGGAACAACCGAACAAGGCCTAAAACCTCGCTCCCCCTTTGGTTTTGTGCCACGTGACAGGATCTGTTCCGCGGTGGCGACGCCGAACACCACGCGTATGGACGGCAGCGGCGGTGACCTGCGGAGCACCATCAAGAAGTGGAACGGCATCTACCCTGTCTACTCAACTCCAAGAAGACGGTCGCCGAGGGCCGCTGCATCGCCACCGCCAAGGCCTGCCCGGACCCCACCTGCATCGAGATCGCTGACTGCTGTTCGCACCTCAAGATCCCCCACGCTATCGAGGTACCCACCCTGATTCCTTCTCCGATTGTTTCCTTTTCCAGTTCAGGATTGACAGTATCGTTTGTTTGCACATCTGACTGATGGGCCAATTGTTGCTATGCGTAGTTGGATAAGGCGTACCCAAGGGATTTCTTCCAGGTGGGGAGGGTCAGGGTGCAGCTCAAGAAAGATGACGGCTCCCCCGTCAATCCTGCTATTAAAACAAGTAAGTGCCTGAACTGCATACTTGCTTTCACCTAAGCTGAATTTAGAATGGGACTGCATACATATTATACTCTATTCCGAAGAATGTGTTCAAGATATCATGAATTGCTAGCGATTCATCTGGGTAAGTATGCAAGCGTTTCCTTCGCGTAAATATCATATAGTTTTTGCTTATTGATGATCGCATCTAGGAAGGAAGGCGGCAAACTGGTACTGTTAGTGGGTTGTAGTTAAGCCTGGGAATGAGTCGTGGCCCACCCCTAATCCAACCGCAACTCTATTTTTTAGATGGGATGGCCTGATCCTGATCCAATCCACTGGCAGCTTTATATCCTAATCCAGCTTGGCCCCTTGAGAATGAAATCTCACTCCTATCCTGATCCTAATTAAATCCTAGGCCCAAATCTGTTACTGTTTGCACAACTCAGCCCTTGGGCCCTGCGCAGGCTACAACTTGCATGCTTGCATGTACACAGAAATACAATGCTTGCATTGTTTGCGTGTACACAGAAATACAATGCTTGCACGTTTGCATGTACACAGAACATTTGCAGTCTGAATCCTGACAGAAGTAGTGTCGGATATCTATACCCAGGTATCCGAGCCAAAAGATTAATGAGCGTCACGTCGCCTCATCCGATGGTTAAGGACGCAACTGCGGCCTCGTCTGCCCCCCAGGGGCCGGGCGGGGCCTCGTCCAACTCCGAGGACGAAGTTTCCGCCTCGTCCGACCCCAAGGGCCGGGCCACGCCTCGTCCAACTCCGAGGACGAGGTTTCCGCCTCGTCCGACCCCCAAGGGCCGGGCCACACCTCGTCCAACCTCGAGGACGAGGTTTCTGCCTCGTCCGACCCCAAGGCGTGGGTTCCGACTCGTCCGGTCCCACAGGAAGGGCTTCGCCTCGTCCAGGCCACCGAGGGGGATTGATTCTTCCTGCCCGCCCCAGTGGCGAGATTTCCCCGCCTGCTTCCACAGGAGTCGACGTTGCTCTGGACAAAAGCAGTGGCCTCGGGGTAGGACCCGAACCGCTTCAACCACTACGGCATGGAGGCGCACGCCCGGGAGCACGTCTCGGACGCGACCTGATGCGACTAGCGGTTGCATCAGGCCATGCTGGGAGACTCACGTCGCCCACCCGTCAACAAAGCCCGACCTTGTCGCCAACTCCTCGCTGACCATCGTCCCCAACGTCGGTCCGACCGGTGTCGATGGATCGGCACTGCATCTGCTAGCCCCTCAGATGGCCTTTGTCAGGGACCCTTTGACCATTCCGTCCGCTCGGATGAGATGGAAGACAAGAACGACGCATGACGCCTGCACGCATGCTGCAGCGGCCAACAGGACTCCGGTACGCCGCCGCTGCTACTACGATCTACAGGGTCAGCGGGACCCGCGCGAAGAGGAGAACGGCACACCTCCGTGAGCCTATTTTCTCTTTCCCTCTTCCCTTCGGTTGTAACCCCTGCTTTCCCTTAGGCTATAAAAGGGAAAGCAGGGCGTCCAACTAGGGGACATCGAACAAGTGCATCACATAGCACCGGTTCACCGCACCTCATCACGAATAACACATCACCAGAGACTTGGGACCAGTCCCTCTCTCGCCAGTTTGTAACCCCCTACTACGAACTTTCAGTACTAAGTAATACAAACAGTAGCCAAGAACTGGACGTAGGGACATTCTGCCCGAACCAGTATAAGTCTTGTGTCTTCTTAGCACACCATCCGGGTCAGACGCGTAATATACAAATTTACTCGTTAGTGTTTACTCAAAACACCGACAAGTAGCATGCTGGATGTGTTTCATAGTACACAGAAGTAGCTAAAAGGATTAATTAAGTAGCTAAAAGGATTAATTAGGATTGAGCATGAATCAACATGCTAAAACAAATTACAAATTTCTGGCCATACGATCTGGATGAATCCAACAAGAACAATAAAAGTTGATTATTATGACTTGCAAACATTATGCAAAGGTTCAGTGATCAGTGAGCCTGCGCCGCACATCAGAGATCAATGAGCTCTTGCTAGCAACAACAATCAGCCATGAACCCACAATCTGCAAAGACACCAAGCACAAAACTCATAAACTTGTTACTTCCAAAGATCAATGAATGGACTTGGGATGTCAACTGCAGCTATGCTAAAACTTCATGCTTCATCAACTATATGACTAGGCAGAGGCACCAGTGAAAAAAAAGAACTCCATGCTTCATGTGCATAGTAGGTAGTAGGTACTGTGCTACAGCTATAGTTTCAAATCCATGTCAACTCATAATAAAATTTCCCAGGCATCAATCAATATATGTAAATGTGGAAAGTGGGTGGTGTGTTCCTTTAACTAGATAAGACCTAACTTGATAAGGGCTCACTCAAATTTGGGCCAGCTGAGCCAATTTCAGTTTCATGCTTCAATAACTCAAAATTATAAAGATGTGCCCCCATATGCCAAGTTGAGCTTTGTCAGTTGGGTGTATAGACAAAAATTTCAGATAATTGTTTTCGGGCTTTAACTAATACATATAGCAGAAAATGTAATAATAACTTCTCTGAATAAATGCACAAAAGTTTAAACCACAAAAGTTTTCACCTGAACTATCTTGTAGAGACATGGACACTGCCCTGGGCTTCAGCAGGGGCTTAGAACTGAACCAGAAAGCGTGGCCAGGCAACCAGCAGGGGCTTAGAACTGAACTTCAAGAACATTTTTAAAACACTAGAGAATATATATTCTGTATGATTATTTGCTGATTATTCTAAGTGTATATAATCCATCCAAAATTCCCCTGCATCAACATGTAAAACTAATGACTCTTGCAATATCCATATTACTACTTAACATATGGTGTTTGTATATGTTCCCTTGTGTTTCTAAATTTCTGTTTAAAACTCTCTGAATTTCACTAAACATTCAATGCAAATCTCAATTGGGCAGAACACAGATTTTATCTATATGGTGTTTGTATATCAGCAGACTGTTGTAGTTCATTATGAATGGCTTGCTATATCAGCAGACTGTTCTAGTTCATTATGTATATCAGCAGACTTTTCAAGTTCGTACTTTTGAGTGAAGAACCTGGCCGTTATATGTAGCATCCATTATATATTAAAATAAAATGGACCAACAATGCAAGAAGGAATCTGTAGCAACCAAGGTGATGGCTCCCTAGCGGCTGGCCTCTCTGGAGCGGTAGGATCGATCGGACAGTGAGGCACAACTGGCAGCGGAGTTGTGGGCGTAGGAGAACCTTGGACTTCTTCTTCTTGCTCTTGGAGAACGAGGAGGGCTTCTTCTTCTTCTTCATGGAAGGCGTGGGCGCGGAGACCTCGGCGGGCCTGGCGGTGGAGAGGCGCACCGGACGACGGATCTTGGCGATGGATGGAGAAGCGATGGGGCCTGAGGAACTGATGCCCTCAAGCTCCTAATATTGCTGTACTGCTGTGCGAGCAATCAGTAGACCAGTCTTTGTTAAGTACAGTTGTGTGAATGACTGGTGGAATGTTTTTTCATTACCTGTGTTTATGGTGACTTAGCTACATCTATCTTCTATCACCTAGAGGGGGTTTATGCTGAGCTAAATAGAGGTGTTTAAGGACTACAAGAAAGACTTTAAGGGCTCGCACTGATATGATGCTTTATTCCAAATTGCATACCTTGAAATTTGATGCCATATTTATTTTGCTTTAGCATGTCCTTATTTTTTCATTTTGTAAAAATGAAGTATGAAACTCTGCAGCTTCCAGTTGTAGATGTGGGAGTCCACCATTAGTTAATTTATTTATGGGCTTCCCATATTACAGAGAAGCAGCTGATGATCCAAATAGCAGAGCTAGTTCCCAAGCATCACGGAAGGACAAAGAAGCAGGAATCAGCGCCCAGTTCTTCAGCCGGTGGCAGTTCAAAGAACACAAAAGGCGGGAAAAAGAAAAAGTGATGACATTATCATTTTTTTTTTCTGTTCGTCCTCATACTAAGCTTCTGTGGAAGTTGTCTTTCTTAGGCCTGAAAATCATTGTGACTTTTGGTGGGATTTTTTTTTCCTGCTAGTGAATTGGATCTGAACTTGTTTTATGCTATTAATGATCTTATTACAAAATTTACTGAAATGTCACACGTATAAATATTGGGTGTCCTGTCGTTTTCTTGCATTGTCTTCGAATTGACATGGGCGTTCAGGCTGCAAAGACGCAGTGTCTTATTGGCCGTGATATGTTGGCTTGTGTTTGTGTCTTATTCACATGGTGCTTCTGTGATGGCCATCATTGGGTTTTGACTGGTGCCATTGGTGATGTATTAGCAATAGCCCGTTCGGCTTATCTTATATTCCGGCTTATTCGGCTTTTTTTTCAGTCAGAACAGTGTTTTTCTCTCACAACAATTCAATCGGAACAGTGTTTTCAGCCAATTTCAGCCAAGCGAACGGTGATAGGTTCTGCTATATATATGTTAGCATGTAGAAGTTCAGCAGCCAATTTCAGCCAAGCGAACGGTGTTTTTCTGCCTCATAGGTTCTGCTATATATATGTTAGCATGTAGAAGTTCAGCAGTTGTATAACCCTACAGTTTACAACTGCTGAACTGGTGCCATTGGCCACATCACTAGATTATTTCCCTGCAGTTCGTCTCTGCTGTGATATCTTTGGGACCAAAACAGGTGCAGCATAGGATATGTTCCTCAATGTACTGATTGGTCCATTCCTACCTCCAATTTACTCTTATGTTCTTTTTAGATTTGATGTCAAAGATGCATGATTTGACATGAATCTGACCTGGTAGGGAGCATATCACCTGTTCTCTTATCATGTTGGATTGTTAATATGGAACATGACACCTATTTGTGTATGCTGAATTCGAGGCTGGAACCTATTTCATTATTCTCTTGCCAAGAAGTGATATTTACTCCAACTTGCTAAGAAATTATTCGGAAACTAATGCCAAATTATAAAGCTAGTAAAAAAAATCAGTGCATATACTATCTGGAAAGAGAAGTATATTACTACTGTAGACGACTAGCAGCAGCTGTGTTGCCCAAGTGTGGC